TTCCCATACTGAAAAGACAGGACGTGTGGAAGGAAGTGGGAGCCTCTCCAAAGTCTTTGCTGCGGCTGCAGGAGAGCACGACCAGCGCTGTGTGGCCTCCGTGGCCATCCGGATCATCGGGACTGGGGCTCACAAAAGGAGTCTGTTGATAGAGAGGGACAGTCGTGCGAATAGAGCCGGGGCTGGAAAAATGGGCCTCCTGGTGTCAGGAGGTAGGAAGACAGGAAACACGGCCAGATGAGCGAATTCCACCTTATTGTAAGGTTACATTAACAGAGTCTTGCAAGCCTGAAAGTACCTCTCTCCCCACATCCCCTTTACAACCTAAGAAGATAGGGAGGGTCCCTTCTGAGCCGCTTGCCCCACCCAGGTCCTGCTGCGGGCTCAGCTGCCTCTTATCTGACCGTTCCCTTGGCTGCGTCCCTTTGCCCTGTCTCCCACGGACTGTTACACCTGGCCACAAAGAGAGCCCGACCTGCGGATCCTTGTCTCTGCAGGACTTAGCCCAGAAGCCAGTTGTGGGGGGGTCTTCTGAGCAGATTAAAATCAGGGAGCCCAGGGCCATCACCCCAAAAGACTGCCAAGGAAGCCCAGGGTTGCCACATTTCATCTTACGTCTCGAAATAAGGAGGTCGGTGAAACGGAGTCTCAAAGCGCAGAGCAAGGGTGGGGGGAGCTCGCAGACCCCTTGGCGGATGTTCAGTCTCCAGATGGTAAAAGCTCAGCTGAAACGTTTACTGCAGGTCAGGAAAGGTCTTATGGAGTGAAAAGTCGGCAGCCTGGTTAAAAAGCCATTTCAGGAAGAGGACAAGACAGGCGTCCCCAGGACAGGAAGGCAAGCCAGCCGCAAGGGTATCTGGCCTCCGCTGGGTGCTGGGGCCGTGGGGGAGTGGCCATTGCTGTCATGATGTCACGAGGGGCGGAGCTGAAATGAGTTTAGCATTTGTTTCTGGGAAGCGTTGTTGGGCATGGAATTAATCAAGAGCATTGGGACTTTTATTTATTTATTTTTGATGTGTATAGCCACCCATCTCGCATGTGTGACTCTGGGCAGTTCAAGTAATTAAACAACCAAGCAACGAAACTACTAAACAAAACACACATATCAGTAAAAACAATAACCCCATTAAAGCCAGATTCAAACCAAATTGAAACCATAGTACATAATAAGCAGGCAAGCCGTGCATCGGTCGGGGCAACCCTCTAGCGGGCTCCGAACCACAACCGGATCTGCAGAGCCGTGTCGTGAGAGCCTTTCGGGTGGGGGGTGATGTTCCCAAGCGGAAAAGGCCCCTCCTGGCTCCAGTCAGATGAAGCTCCGTAACAGGCGGGACCCCCAACGTGCCTCTCCTGCCAGACCTGAGGGGACCGTGAACGGAGAGCGGACGCGGCTGCTGCAGCGGGCGGCGTCTGGCCTCGCAAGCCTTTCGAGTTCCTTAAATACGACAACAGACAACGTGGGGATGGCGAGGGGCCAGGTGAGGAACTGGGGACAGATCAGAGCGTCTTGGGCTGTAGGCGTGAGGCGAGGCACAGCCCCTGCTGTGGGTCTTCCCTGGGTGTCTCCACTACTTGAGGGGTTCCTCTTTCTGCCAGTTGTCCGTCTCCTGACTGCCACAGCCTTTTTGTGGAATGGGGGGGATGCCAAAGGGAGAACGGCCTGGGGCCGCGGCTGGGAGGACCTCTGGGGAGCCCTGCCTCTCCCTCTGCGGCAGCCCCTCGCCCGCCCGCTGTGGCATGCAGGCGAGGAGGCTGGGACTGCAGGCCTCCAAGTGACTTTTCTGCCTCAGGAATGCATGGCTTCCGGCCATTCCTCCACCGGTCAGTGGCCCTGGGAGCCCTCGTGCCAAGGACGCAGACAGGCTGGGGGGTCCCAGAGGGCCCGCCCGGCCCAGCTCAGCCCAGCTGGCCTGTGGCCACTGCTCTGGAGGCTGCGTGAGCTTGACTTGCGTGGTGTCCCCCGCAAGCGCCTCGTGGCCGTGGCCAGGGACAGCGCTGGCTCTGGCCCTCTGGGCGGCTGGCAGGGCGCTCCGGCTGCCCTCTGGTATCTTCTGCTACTGCTGCCTGCTGCTTCTCTATTTCAAGGTCATTTGAATGCGCATCCCAGCCTGGGCCTTATTTCCGATGCCTTGGTTTGTAATGTCTGCAGATTTGACGAGTGCCCTCGCCACTCCTTCCTCCAAGTCATTAACTTTATTGCAGTGGCACTTTGGCAGCGCAGGAGGTACACAGACGCAGCCTCCCTGCCCGCTGGGTGCTACCAGGCTGGGGTAGGCATCCAAAGAGCCAGCAGTGCCAGCTGGAGCTCGGTGTGTGTATGTGGGGGGCAGCTCTTCCCCACATGCTGACCTTCAGCTGATGAAGTCTTGGCAGGCCAAGCATTGGCTGTTGCTCAGCAGAGAGCAGTGAAGCCAAGAAGACCCCCCCGCCCCAATTTGTGGGCTGCCTGCTTATCTTACCTCCCTTGTCAATGCCTGGGCTGAGACCCCCCCCTGCCTGTCCCTGGGACTCCGGCAGCCGCTGCTCTTTTGAGATGAACCTGTTCTCTCTGGGGCCACGGGAGGGGGGCGGGAGGGGAGACCTGTGGCCTGGGGGCCGGGCCTCTATCCCCTTCTGTGGCTTTCGCCTGGCCAGGCTGGAAAGGAGCATTCCTTCCAACTTGTCCTACCGCCTGGGACACTTTGCTGGGGCATGACCCTGGCCCCCCCGGCTTGTGCCTTCTCAAGGTGAGGAAGGCACTCAGGTGCATCCTGCTTTGGGCAGGGCAGCAGCCATGAGGCACACTGATGTGCGGGGTTGTGGGAAGGAGCCCGGGGATCCCCTGTGCCAGGCTGCTGGGCATGTCCTGGGTGCCAGGCATCTCGTGCAAAGTGCAGGTCTCTCTCAGACATGGCTTTCCTTTGGTCCTGCATCTGACACCCAGAGCGGCTGCCAAGCCTGGTGCTGCCCGGCCCTTCCTGCCTGGGAAGTTCTGCCCAGTCCTGGCAGCGCCTCTCATAGCCGCTCTTTCCTCTTGGTGCCCAGGTATGCCCTCGAACACCCCAGCGACACGGAGCAGATTTTTGATGTCGACCCCCAGACCGGGGCCATCCTGACCAGCCAGGCCTTGGACCGAGAGACTGCGGGCTGGCACAACATCACCGTCTTGGCCATGGAGGCTGGTGAGTTGGGCTGGAGGCGCCTGGGGGCAGGGTTGCATGGAGGGCCTCGGCAGGGGAGGTCTTGCTGGAGCCCCGCCTGGGGCCTGCGGAGCCCCGGTGTCACCCCCCGAGAGGGTAAACCGAGCACAACTGCCACTCAGGGCTCCTGTCAGTTGCCCGGCAGAAGGGCTATGGAGTGACTTTAGGAGCCCAGAAACCAAAGGGAGGGCTGGTCCCCACGAGCCTCCCTCCCCAGCTTCCAGGATGAGCAGCGCTGTCCTGATTTTGGGAGGGAGCAAGGAGGGGCTGCCTTTGAAAGGACCGGTGCTGAGGGACAAGCTGCAATAGATGCCAATGCCGTTCAGTAGGCCTTGCTTTCAGAATTAGCCCCCGCTGCGGCTCTACGTGGGATGCGTGCGCTTTGCCCTTTCCTCCCAAATTCCACCCCCTTGCTTCTGCTTTGCCTTCTTGTGCTTTCCAGAAAAGGCGCCTCAATGCTGCGGGAAAAGCAGCTGGGAGAATGGGTGTGCCCAGGGGTGGGGGGAGAGCCGAGCAGGAAAACTGGTGGAGGGAGGGGCCCACCACTCGCCTCCTGCCACTGCTCCCCCAAGGCGGCTGTCCAGTTTCTGTTTCTGGGTCTTGCGGAGGCACGGGGACTGCCCACCGCAAGGGCAGCTCTGGGGCGGCAGGGGATTCTCGTGGCCGCCCATTTTGGTGGCTTCCTGACGTGTTTGTCTGGCTTGGATAAAGGCTTTGCAGCTGCAGCACAAGCCAGCCTGGGTTAGTGCGTTGTTGTGTAGCCTGTTGTGTAGCCTGTTGTTGTGTAGCCTGTTGTGTTGGCTCAGTGTATTAACTCAGAAAGCACGTCGTATTGGTGCAGTCATTGTGATCAGTTGATCACCATGGCTAAACTCAGAGTGCAGAGCCCTTGAGAGCCTGTGCTAACTCCCAGGTTGGTCCTTGATCATTGTGTGAAGACCACCGTGGTTCAGCAATCCTTGCTCTTTTTGACGAGTGGGACTGGGTGGCTGTCATTCCCGAGGGCTTTTTGTCTTGCTTTCATTGATGTGAGTCGAGAGGAAACATTGATGCGTTCTGTTTGACTAGGGTTTTTGAGCCAGCTATGCATCCACCGAATTGTCATGCCATCTAGCTTCCACTTAATTAGCTTAGTAATCAATATGTCGTGGAGTACTCTGTCAAATGGTTACTGTTGAAATAAAGATATATTATGCCTGTAGCATTCCAGCAATCTATTTAGACAATCCATTCAAAAAATTAGGCAAGGTTAGTTTGGTAAGACTTGTTCCTGACAAAGCTACGCTGACTTTGGTGATTATCACATTGTCCTCAGGATAAATGTATTTTGGTGATTTTTAGAATTTTTATGAATGTTATGGTCTGAAGCTCCCTGGATCCTCCTTTATCTTCTCCTTCATCAAAGATAAAGAGATAATTTGCTCTCCTCCACTTATCTACCACTTAGTTCTTCTGAAATAGACCTTCAGCTTTCTTCAGTCCCATAGGATGCAGTTTATCTGGTTCTGGAGATTTGAACTTATTCACAGTAAATGGATATTCCCAGGCCGTCTTTCTGTCAGTCTTGAAAGTCAGTCCTGCCTCTCTCCACTCTGCTCTTCACAATTTCTTGCTGAAAAACTCTCCCTCATGTCAGAGAAGAGTGAGGCAAAACAGCAGCTCAGCATTTTCTTTATTACCTGTTAGCCTGTTGCCACCCTTGTAAAGCAGCTGATATACTGATTCTTTTCTTTTACCTTTATTTTGAAAAGACCTTTTTGTTATTCTTAGCATCTTCTGCCAACCTCGGCTCATTCTGAGCTTTCCTTCCCTCTGCAGTTCCAGGCTCCCTCGCTGTATTTCTCCTTTGTGATCTGCCCCTCTCTCCTTCTCCTGTCTGCGTCCTTTCTGGTCTTTTTATGCAGGCACAATGCCTTTTTCTACTCCACTTTTTAATTTCTCATTGGAATTATTTGCTATTGTCCTTTTAGTATCTCCTTGTTTAAGAACTTCCACCCATCTTGAGCCCCCTTTCCCCTTAGCTCCTCCTGCCATAGAGCTCCATTTATCTGAGTCTATTTAAAAATTATATTCTGAAATCCACATTAATTTCCCTTAAAATCAAGGATTCTAGCATTACATGATCAGCTTTCCTCAATGTTCCTTCAACTTCCCTTCCTTAATTAAGTCTTCCCGTTGATTGGTATCGAATCAGGACAGCTGGTCTTCTTGTGGCTTCTTCCACCTTCTGAAAGGGAAGGGAGTCAGCCAGATGTCAGGCATTTCCTGAAATGAAAGGACTGTTTGGTGGATTTTATCTCCCAGTAGATGTCAAGAAAATTAAGGTTCCCTACCACTCCTACTTCATGTCTCTTTGAAAGCTTCATCCACATCTTCTCCTTGGTCAGGTGGGCAGTAGTAGATGCTAATATTGCTTCTGTTTGTTCTTCACTTACTTTAACCTAGATAGATGACAAGACTGTGAACTTCATGAGCCAGTGCTTTTGTTAAATGTGTCATGTGGATAATAGGTCACATTTCAGCCACACCAGGATTCTTCTACAATGCACATTCTTATGTGAAGTCCTTTCTTCAGGGTTTTCATCCCAAAGCTTCATAGAACTCAGTTTCAAGTTCCCCGATCCAGTTTACCATGCTTCAGTGAAACCCATTTTTACCAGACCTTGTGGTAATAGCCCATCACCCCAATAATCCAGTCCATGGTTCCTGCAGCCCCATTTGCCTAGTGGACATTCTCTCATCGAAGTCTTTCTCTTCCGTGGATTGGGAGGACGGGTGAGAACTCCCCAGGAGCTTGACTTCCATTACTCAATCACCAAAGTCCATGGTTATATGGTGGTAGCTCTTCTTGGCGGTATCACTTGTCCCCATATGAATTAGTGAGAAGGTATCATGGTAAGTCCCAGGAGTTGCCCCAAGCCTTGCTCCTGGCACGCACCACCCTGCACATGCTGATGGATCCGGTTGCAGAAATGAATTGCCAGCTCGCAGGACTCTTCCGTTTATCTCCATGCAGGGGGCAGCCGCATCCTGCTGCTTCTGAAGGAGCCGCACTCGGGCCCCTCTTCTGCAGTGTCTCTTTTCCTCCTCTGAAGGCTCGGAGCCTGTTTCTTCTGAGTCTGAGGGGTACAAAACTTCTTGGACATAACTTGTTTAGTGTTGCCGTTCTCATCCACCGGGTTGCTCCTGTGACCCCAGTCTTTGCCGTCACCCACTCTCTTTCGTCCGGCTCCTTCTTTCAGCCACTGTGGTGGTGCTTTTTTCTTTGATTTGACAAATCTTCATCTTCTTGCATCACCTGAAGCATGAAGTCCAGTCCCTTAACTTTATTTTTCAAGGGTGGCTACAAATTTAATTTGCTATTGGTATATACCAGACTGATCTGAGGCACAAATATGCCACAAACATTATGGGTCATAACTGCAGGTCCTGTCCGTATGTGGAATCACGAAGGTGCCTTCAAGGTCATCCAGTCCAACCCTGTAGAGATGGCCTTGGAAAAACTAGACAGAGATGAAGGCTGGGAAGAGTTGAGTTAAACCCAGGAAACAGGGAAAGGCTGAGAAACTGACTTCACTCCTCCCTAGTTAGAGTATTTGGCGGTGGGGGGGCATTCAGTCAGGCCTTCAAGATTCTGTTACTATTGCCTGTATCAGTAAAATATACAAAACAAAAATATTTTGTTTCCTGGCCTGGCCTACCTCGAAGGGCTGACAAACCACCTGATCAATGATCCTTGTGGGGGAGTTGGGCGGTGATATAAATTTGATATATAAATAAATTAATGCAGATCTGCTAAAGCATTTGAAACAGTGGCTGACCAGCTTCTCTACGAAGACCTCCAGCAAAGGGGAACGTATGACTTTGCAGGCAGCCTGTTCCATTGACTGGCAACTAATACAGTTAGGAAATTCCTGCTGATGTCAAACTGAATCTGCTTCCTTACAGTGTCATCCCATCGATTTTGGTCCTGCTGTCCCAAGGACAGAAAATGAGTCTGCCCCCTCCCCTCTGTGGCAGTCCTTTAGCTGCTGGAGGCCTGCCCGCGTCTCCCTGGGTTCTTTAGTTGCTTCTCACAGGCCTTGCTTTCCAGACCATCTTCGCCATCTTGGCAGCCCTCCTTTGAAGTGGCCCTTTTTAGACTGCAGGGCCCAGGGCCACACGTGGCATTGCAGGGGGCCTGACCGAGGTAGAGCCGGGCAATTACTTCCCGTGATCTGGACTCCTTGCTCCTGTTAATGCATCCCAAGTAGGAGCTGCCTTCTCAGCAGCTGCATCTGCTGCTGGTCCCCGTTTGCCGTGTCCTCTGCTAGGACGCCCGGGCCCCTTTCTCCCGCCAGGCCAGGTCTCCCCCATCCCGTATTTTTGTCTTTCATTCCTTCCTTTCCAGATGTGGGACTGTGTGTTTCCCCCTTCTAAAGTCCATCCTCTGAAGTCCATCCTCTTCCTTTGACCCCACCAGTCGAGATCTTTCTGAATCTTCCCTAACCCGCCGGTCACTCCTATTACTTTTGTGCCATCTGCCGATTGACCCTCGCCCCCTCCACCCCTTTCTCGGCCTTAGTGAAAGAGGCTGACCAGCGCAGGGCCCAGGACAGACCCCTGTGGCACTACTCTCCAAGCGGCTGGGCAACCATTTAGGGGTGCTCCCGGGGTGCAGCCATTCAGCCAGTTAGGAATCCATCTAATGGCTGCATCGTTAGCCCATTTTGGTAAGGAGGAGATGATAAGAGACCTTGTTGAATGCTTTGCTGAAGTCAAGGAACTGTCAGCCATTTCAGGCAGGCTGAATAAGAAACAGCCACCGCACAATTTCCAGGAATGCTGTTTTGTTGTTGTATATTAGCATAATCTTGAAACCCTGCCCGAGTTTCTCTCTCCCCATCTTATACTACACAAAGTCAAGGTGGGGTAATTCTGAGTTTCTTCCTCATGCTTGCTTCTGTCTCTGGACTGTGTCATCTCTTGTCCAGGCCCCTCCT